TTCACTCCATTTCTTCTTTCTAGGAGGCTTGTTGGGCTCACATCCTCCTCTTCCTGGCATTCTTCCTCCTAATGTCTACAGTCCGTATCTGGAGTTCTCAGTTATGGTCAGAATTTCAGTTTCTCTCACCTGAAGCGCTTGATTTTTCATCAGGCACCCTCATGATTTTCCTTTGGAGGTTTTTGAGCTGTTATTTTAATGTAACCAGATTTATATTTTATTACACAACTTGGTTTGCTGACATTTAGTCAAATGTTCTCAGCATACCTTTGATGAGTTGAACAGAACAAACGAGTTTCACAGCCTTCTTTGTAGAGGATAAAGGGCAGAGGCTTGACTACATTTTTATTCATAAGATTTTGGTTCTAATGAGGTTCTAATCCCACAACAGGAGTGAGCAGGGGGAACCAACTTTCCTGTAGAGTTTCTCACTGAAATATGTGACCGGCTGACAGCAAGAGCTTTTTTAACTTTTCTCTCTTCTTCTTCTTCTTCTTTTTTTTTTTTTCTTTTGTTTGTTTCCTTTCTTTTAGTTATTGATCATTTTTCCAGGCTTTTGAGATGTAAACCTACAGTCTTCCCTGTTATCCATTTTCTAAACTCATATTAAGCTGCTCTCTTTTTAGTATCGCATCGAAGTCACACTATTTTATTTTTTTTAGAAAACCCTGCAAATAATGCTTTTTTCTACCCAGATCAGTAAGTATTTATTTTAATTGACAGACAGTAAATTTTCCCAAGGCCAATCTGTTTTTCTCACAACAGAACTGATAAGTGATCTCCTCATTCTTTTGTTGCCCAGAGATTTCTAGCTTCAGTTCCCAATGAAGAGGGGCACCGAGAGAACAGCCTGGCAGAAGTGCTTCTGTTAGCTGTGTCCAACTCACCGCAGCATCAGAAACATTCACAGACACTCAGCCACTTCACTGGAAAGAAATAGAATGAATACAAGTAGCTTTCAGTTTAGCCCTAAGTTGTGATGGAAGCCAGTTCACTTTTTGGTGCCGCTGGACAAAACAAAACAGAACTGCGCTTCTCATTGTCTGTCTCTAGTAGAGTAAGAAATAGGTAGCAGTCCCTTAATTCTTCTGACTTAGTTTAGAATCAATTAATTAGTCGGTAGCTGTGACTAATTATTCCCTTCCAATTAACCTGGAAATCATTTCAAAATGAAGCCAGAAAACATGACATCCATGGTAAAATGGTAAGTTTCTGTTGTGAGTTGGTGACGCACCCTATGTGATATTACATACACTATCTAGGCTTACCTTGACAATAGAGAAGGTGATTTATTTTGTACGTTTGTTTCGTGCAGCTTTATTTATTTATTTATTTTAGTGTTTATATAGTCCTACTACCAAGTGTGCTGTTGTATTTCAAGGGGCATTTGTGTTCTGTATTTTATTACTTGTTAGAATACTAGCTAGAAAAAGTTAATGAACTGTACATGAGTCCAGTGATGTGATCACTGACTCACTTGAACACTTTGCCTTGCTGGGGAGAAATCGCTGGAGATACCGACACATCGCTTGTACACTGAATACTTTTCCAAAGCTGAATAAAATTTCATCAAAAGAAAATCTGATAAAAATCAACAACAGTACTCTGCTCTGAATTTAGGAATGGCTTACGATGTTGTATCTCTATGTGATGTTAAAAACAAACAAACAGCAATTGGCTTGGCCTCGGTTGATCCATTTCTACCACAGAATGAATCAGACCCTAAAGATCATCGAGCTCGAACACCTCTGCCATGGGCTGGGCTGCCACCCACTCAATCGTGCGGCCCAGAGTCCCATCCAGCCTGGCCTTGAATGCCTCCAGAGATGAGTTAATCACAACTTTGCCGGGCATCCTGTGCCAGTGTCTCAATGCCAGTGTCTGGAGTAAAAAATCCCTGCCTTCTAATATCTAACCTAAATCTCCCCTCTTTTAGTTCAAAGGCTTGTCCTGTCACTATCAGGTTGTAGCGGAAATGCCAAATCACAGCTTGAACAGGTGATCGAACACCTGGTGGGAAGGCGGGGTCAATACAGAGAAGCTCAGGTGCATGCAATGAAGCTGATTGACCAGGAGGAGTGGAGCCAGGATCCACCCCTTCCCAGACCTCATTTAAGGGTTGGCAGTGGAGGTGTGGGTGTCTTGCTGACATTTCCTGCCTCCTGGAGGCTTTCTGAAGGTGAGCAGTGACTTTTCTTTGTTTCTGCATCCACGGCTGCTGTGTTTGGGTTTGTTCTCATCTGCTGCAGCTGAGGGCTTTGCCACTCTGCTGTTATTGCTGTACTTTCCATCACATTACAGTGTTTCACAGACCACGTGAAAAGTCAGTTCCCTTCCTGTTTATAAGCTCCCTTCAAATACCCACGATGGGGCATTTTCTTCTCTGAGATAGGCAAACCCAATTCCCTCAACTTTTCTTGATAGGAGGGGTGCTGCAGATCTTTGATCATCTTTGTGGCCTTTCTCTGGACCCACTCCATGAGCTCCATGTTCTCTCTCGTGCTGAGGGCCCCAGGCACAGGGCTCCAGCTAGAGCCTTGTGAGGGCAGAGTAGAGGGGGACAATCACCTCCCTCCTCCTGATGGCCATCCTGGACTCTGGTGCAACCCAGGATACCCTTGATTTTCTGGGCTGTAAGCATGTGCAGTTGGCTCACACTGAGCATGTAGTCCACTGGAACCCTTAAGTTTTTCTCCACAGGGCTGACCTCAGTGAGTTTTTCTCCTGGTCTGTGCTCGTATCTAGCAAGGCCCTGAGCCTGGGATGCGTGTTATCAGGCCCATAGACTTGTATGCATTCAGTCTCATTGGGTGGCCTCAGACTCATCCTTATCTTACAGTGGGAGGGATTTTGATCCCCCAGCCTGTGCCTAGAGGTTTAGGAACATGAGAGATATGGAAAGCCTGACTACCAGAAAAGATTGAATTGAAGGAAGGCTGAGGTGCTCAACGTTCTTATGTCTGTCATTGCCTTTTCTCACTTACAAGAGCAAGTACGCTTTCCTTGCCCTTTCTCTTCTGAGCTATGTGCTTGTAGAAATCCCTTCCTATTTTTTTTTTTTTTTCTATCTTCTGCTGAGTTCAGTTTCATCTGAACTGCTGGGGGCTGGAGAATTCTCATGATCTCAGAAAGGTGTCCTTAAAGAGCTCCTTTCATGTTCCTTTCTAAATTGGCATTTGAGAATATATATAGTTTTTCTTTTCTTCTGCACATTGAGTGCTGTACTCTATTTTATGTAGTAATTTCATAATTAGCCTCCTCTGTCTGAGTTAACTGAAAGCTTGAAGCATATTGAATGCTGCAGAAACAGAACCTGTTGGACATAATGCTTCTTGGCTGGTGTTATTCCCCTTTGTTGCAGGATTTCATAACAATGGGGCTTTTAATATTGGAACTTGTTTTCTATTGGAGGGTTCTTCTTTGTTGTTTGTTGTCTTTTGTATTCTATATGCTTCTCAGAAACAATTGCTCAGATGTAGGTAACTTACAGTGAACCTCTTTCATTCTCTGTCAAGTCTCGACAGAGAAGCATGGTGTTACCTGATCCCTCTGTGGAGATAGCAGCTTCCAGTGTGCTTTGCACTTTATAGGGACTCTGCTGCCTGAAGAACACAATTGCTTCCCAGAATAACAAGTTTTGGTAGGGTGGGATAGCACAATGACATTGTTAATTGCTGATCTGAGCACAGAGTTATTCACAGTGTCACTGTGAAGGGAGGAGGTCAGTCCAACTCTAAGCAAATCCCGTGGAAAGGGGGAACAAGCTTAGTCTTGCAATCCCTGAAAAATCTTAAAGGCAAATTCACCTTTCCCAAAACTACTGAAATTCTTGACTGTTTATGCAGGTGGGCCTTCTTAATTTTGTGAACCTTTGGTAGGGTAAATAGAACTAGGGCTTCTCTATGCAGAAAACATAATGCGAAGTTAACAATTTGGGTTGCCAAAAAGGGTATTTCCTACATAAATTTCTTTTACATACAAGTAAATGAAATACTCTAAGTTGGAGGGGGAAAGAACTGAACTGCCATTGTGAACTTACACCTGGAAATCAGATTGGTTGGAAACCAGTTATTTCTTGAGAATGGCAATTAAATTTCCTTTAAGAGCTAGATAGTTGCCCTGTCTTGGAACTGAGCAAATTCTTCCTGTGTTTTTACTAAGTAAAACCTCAGATTTGGCCTCCTATCTCAGCATAAGTAATGGAGAAGAGAGTCAGAGGATGACTTTAGGGATGGACTTTTCTTTTGATCATCCTACTTTAACTGACTATTATTAAAAACAAAATGGGCATCAGCTGTCTTTCACAGTAGTACCAACAGGTGAGCTCATTTTTCTTTCTCAGTTTGTCTGACCTGCTCTTGTGCACTTTTTCTAGGCTTGTAAAGTTTGGGGTCTTAACTCTCAGGAAATGCATTTAGAAGGATAAGTGATTCTGCCTGACTTCTCCAAGGCCAGCATGTCTAGGTAGTCTAAAGAGCTCATGCTGTAAGCAATAAGATTTGCAAGATGATATCTCAAATCTTCCTCTTTCCTTAATTTTCCTGCTTCTACTACTGGCTTTTGTTGTGTTGAGTACATAAGAATCTATGAACCCCTGAGAACAGGTAAATCACATCAAGTTTAGAAGACCTCCTCTTATCCCTGTATGGTTTACTTTTACTGTTATTTCTTTCTATTTAAGAAGCCCCATGGTTTGTCACAAAGCATGTAGGGTTGGGGGAGGGATTTATCCTCTCAGCACAGTAATCCAAAAAAATGATATGGAAAGGAAATAACTATGGCCATAATTACTGCAAGTGAGTGTAGAACTGAAGAAGGCTAGAGCTTCCTCATGTGGGACTGTTGTTCAGTGTAAACAATGAAGGAACAATGGTCAGATTTTTGGAATGGCTCATGGTCAAATGGTGTTGCTAAGGTTATTTATGATTGTCGTAAAAACAAAATTAAAAAGAAATACTTTTTTCTCTTCACAGATGGAGGAACACACTTGTGCAGCCCAGGCCTCCAGTTAAAGAGACCTTATAAACTCCCTTTTATTGTTGTTTTTAAGGAAAGATACATTATGAAGACTGTTTTGCATGTTGCAAGCTCTCTTCTGAACATGCACCCCAAAGAAATACATTATGAATCAATGGAAGGGGTTTTTGGCTGTTTGAAGCTTTATGCTGCAAGTGGTACTTACTGCTCAGCCATTCTGGCTGTTAGAGTAGAAAACACATACTGTTATATGAATAATGAGATGACTGGGATTGTAGCAGTTAAATATCCAACTCTGGGTGAGAGAAAAAAATCTTTACTCTTTAGCTGGGCAATGACTCAGCCCCATACAAAATAGGCTCAAAGTGCTTGTTAGAATAAATGAGAGCATAGACGCAAACAGACCAGCACCAGTGTCCACAGGGCTTCAGATCAGGGCAAGTTCTCTTCAGTGTTTCTGCAACTGACCAGGGCAAGGAACATAGATATGTATTAAGCCACACTGGAGATGGTGGAGATAGATACATTCCTTCACCAGAGGGTGGTTAGGTACCAGAACAGGCTCCTCAGGGCAGCAGACACAGGCCCCAACTAATCAAGTTGGAGAAGCACTTGGACACTGCTCCTGGAGATAGCACTTGAAGTTCAGGTGGTCTCAGGCAGAGGTAATGTAGGTCTTAGGTAATGTAGGTCTTTTCCAACCCAGACTGCCTTCCTACTCTGTGTAGGACAGACATTTCACTGAGCTTGTGCATTTAAGCTTACCTCTCATCTCAGTAATATACATCCCTCTGGAAAAAAAGCAATGCCCTGTTATCAGCAGGAGCAACAGGTTAATCACTTGCAGACATGCTTGCACTAATTAGTCAAACTAATAACTCACTGAGATGCTATTGAAGTCAAGTCATGACAAGAGCAGTATCAATCTAAGTAAATTAGCTCCATTTTCTATCCTGCATTAGCTGCTATTGTACTTCAATCACAGCAGAACTGCTTTTGATTAGTTAATGATCCAAGAGTTATTGGTAACTTCAAACTCTCACATTAAGAAACAATATACTGCACACAAACATCTAATGCAAAGGCACCACCCCAATGAAGTTCCTTGTCTTTTGTTAAGGAACAAACGCAGAGTACAACATATTAGTCATTTTTGTTAGAGTTAGGTCTCAGTTTGGGAGGAAAGTTCCCAGGAACTCCCTCACTGAGATTCAAAATAAAGGGTTTCACCAAGACACACACTCCTGAGTTATCAAGTGAGAAACCAGATACAGTTCTCAGCAGCCCCATCTCAGAAAAGGAAGCCAGAAGTGTGTTGCAAGACAGCCAGTGCCACTCCTCTCTCAGGATAGCACACCTATCTTCAAGCTGGGGAAGCTCTACCACATTCGAGAAAGGCCACCATGCAGAAATCCAGCTGCAACAATACAAATGCAAAAAACATACTCAGTGATTTCATGTGGTGAGTAAAGCAAGTCTGAGGTATTGTACTGTTGAAGTAGATGATTTGCAAACACTTATTATTGACATGTCTTTTTTTTTTTAAACAGAGCATGCATTGCTAAATGGCCAACTGCAAAAGGGGTCATTTTCCTTCCCTCTCTCGTCCCTCAAGATAATTCAACTAATGGTATCAACCAGAAATAAGTCCCAAGTACAGAAGTAACAGGTACATCCTTTGTCTGTGGTAAGTAGGGATTTTTTGGGGCTTTACATTGGAGACAGACAGGTATCCACTTTACTACAAAAGCTTTAGCTTACTAGCTGTTCCACTTTCATGCAGATACTCTTAGGCATCCCAGGTCCCACACAGAGCCTTTCCACCTGCAGTAGAAGCTGCCCTTACAAAAGGCTGCCACAAGCTGATGGTTCTTCTATAAAGAGGACCTATCATTACCCACTTCCCACCTTACAGGACCAAACTCTATTACCAGTATTTTGAGGGCATATAATTTGAAAGGAGAAGAACAGAGTTAGACCTATACAGTTTTGCTTCAGCAAGATAAAGTAAGTAAAAGACATCTCTCAACCAGGAGAGAGATTTTTTCCTGTTAAAAATTTCTAAATTTCAAGTTGCCTGCCCATCAATTCAGCTCACTTTGAGGCATGCTTTTAAATATTACACCAGATCCACAGGAGATACTTTTATTTTTATATAAACACAAAACCAAGTTGCCCTGTTGGAGACATCTCACAAGAGGATATTTCATAAGAATTTTCCATTCATTTTTACTTTTACCATTAGTCTGATTATTTTTTCCCCAAGAGTAGCTTGCAAAAGTCTCAGAGAGCAGCAGCTTCCCTCCTTCTTGAGGGTCTCAGTCTACTTAGGCTATTGATATTGTATACACAGAGAGCAGCAGCTTCCCTCCTTCTTGAGGGTCTCAGTCTACTTAGGCTATTGATATTGTATACATCCTGTATAGACTATAGCTGGTTTACCCCCACACACAGGTGACCATCACCTCCCCCCACCCCCCGGGGGCCCCTCCCACTCCCCCCACCCCCCGGGGGCCCTCCCAACTCCCCCAGAAAATTTCCGAGACTGACCAACCCACCCTCCCACCCAAAAAAAAATAATCTCTCTGAGATAGTGCAAACCCCAGCAAACAGCCCCACACCAGCAGCCAAAAACACAGCCCACACAAACTGAGGGCTGTGTTTTTGGCTGCTCTCCCACACACAAGACACTACATCCAAACACAAACCTCATAGGCAACAAAACCAGACACACCACAACATTCTATACCTCTGCTCCTTCACCAGATCAGAACCCCAAACTCCAGCACAGAAGAGCTGCTCTCACTTCACTCCATTCCTTCAGGCCTGCAAGGAAAGCACATCACAGTCAGTCCCAACCATAAACTCCATCCCAAAGGCAGCACACAGGTAAGGGATACAGATACAGCTCACCTTGCTCCAGAGACACCACTGGGATCCTCACCCTGCAACAAGATCACAGTCACAGAGCCATACAGAATAGAAACACCCCTCTAGAGATCATCTGGCCCACTTTCCTACCACATATCACCCAGGAATGCATCCAGACAACTGGACAGCCTATTCCATCCTTCCCACTTTGATCATTCTTTTTTTGCATAAACCTTCTGGTGTTCAAAATCATGAACACTTCCCCCACACTACCACCCTTCACTCATTTAACTGGACAAGACAACATGCAAAGTTTCCTCTCAGTGAATCTACCTTGTCTGCTCCATAGAAATTTCTCTTCCAGTCACTTGGAGATGACACCTGGTAGAAGTTGTTACATCACCTTTCCAGAAACACAGGTGAGGCCATGCTTCTCACCCCTTCTGAAGGCTGCAGTGATATCAGCTGTCCTCCAGTCTGCAGGCACCTTCCCTGTAGGAAAGAGTAGAGGAAATGTGATAGAGCTATTTGGCAGTCACCCCTGCCAGCTCCCTCAGCACACTCAGGCATTTGCTGGCATCTATTTTGCCAGAATTCAGGGTTCCCAAGGAACAGTCTCACAGCAACAACTGAAGACAAAACAGCACTCAGCACAGAAATGCATCCCCTATTACCAGAACCTCCACCTTGAAAAGCAAAGGCCCACATATTCTCTAGTCTCCTTTTCTCCACTGACAAACTTATGTTAACCTTGACTTCCCTCCTAAAGGTGATACTAAGAGGGCCTTAGACTTTCTCCCCTTCAAGTTCACCGATGAGTTCCTCATTCATTCCTGCTCAGTTCCTTGCTCTTTGGGATGCACAGCTCATGAGCATAGAGGAAGTAACACTCCAGCATCAACAATTGCTCACAGGACTCCTTCCAATGCTCTAACCCAAGGGATACCTTCAAGTAGATCCTTTAAAAGGACAAAGTTAGCTCCCTTGAAGTCCAGTGTTTCAATCCTACTCATCACTTCACATCTTCCACACAAAATCCTGAACACTGCAGTCTCACAACTGCCACATTTGAGGCCACCACTGGTCTTCCTGTCCCCAAACAGCCCTTCTACAATAGAGAGAGCAAGCTCCAGCAGCACCCCTCTCCTCAATGGCTCCTTCATCACCTGTGTCAAAAGATTTCATCTTTGACATATTACAGGAACCTCTGGAATGAGCACTCTTGACAACCTTGCTTCCCTAACAGCTTTCAGGGTGGTTCAAGTTGTGAGAAACACACTAAAGAGCAAAGATCTATTAAGAACAGTTTAATCATTATTGCAATAATGGCCACACACCCCCCACTGACAAGGAAGCGCACAACTAGCCAGCAAAATCCATTCTGTTATATACCCTGGGTCTGATGCAGGTAAAGCCTTTCCTGGTACTCCTTGGTTTAGTGTCTCAGGCTCACAACCATCCAACACTGTTGCTACATTGCACTTCCATACATCTGTCACCAACCCACTGTCTTTGGGCTGGTTCTGTACCTTTTATGGCAACAGGAGGACAATATTTTCAACAATTAACACATTAGTTCTGTCCCATACCAGACTCTCCCCTACCCTATATAATTAGGTTACCTAGTGCCTGTGCCAATTTTACCTATCAGAACACCCCAGTCTTAGCTTTACTGTGTTCAGCAGCTTTCTTTGTGAAAGGCAACTTACCCTATGCTACATACAGAAATACTGGAAATTCCCACTACAAAAAAAAAAAAACAAACAAACCCAACTTCCCACAATTACTCCTCTTCCTTTTAACCCTTGTGTTTTTGAACCAGACCATGAAATACTTCTAGTATTTCTATTTTCTAGTGTTATTTACCTTACTATCCCAATTTGATAATAGGTAATTTATCAAAACTAATCTTGCTGTTCTCCTCATATATATAAAGATTATTAATAACAATTTCTTCACCCTTGTATGATTCATCCCAGTATGAACAAGTAGCAAGTCTGGAATCAGAGCATAATCAGCATTACAGGTTCTAAGCTACTTAGAAATGCAGGGAAGATGAGGAAGTTAGCAATAGTAGAGACAGAAATTCTAGCAAACAGTTTACAGAGCGGGAATAGTCACCACCATGGAACCCAACAATGTCTTATTGGTCCATGGGGAGGCAGCAGGTTGGTCAGCAACATCCCATTGACTTACACAGCTGTATTCTGGCAAATAGGGTACACATTCTTCCTCAGAACTCTTCAGGCCTGCCTACTCCAGTTATCAGGGGCATCGTGTCCTGTCCATCATGATGATAGTAGCTGTTAGGGTACCCACATTATGTTCATCAGGAGGAACAATACATTTGTCCTCTTACCTCTGTGCTCATGGTAGTCAACCATTTACTTTAAAAACTTGTGGGTAGGTCATGCCTTGGGTGACTTTGAGCCAAGCATTCTCCAGCTTCTCATGCATCATATGGCTGCCTCTGAACAAGCATTTCTCCCTCTTCTCACACCACCCAGTGGCACAAAGCTTGTTGTCACTGTCCCATGGCTGTTTCAAGAAAAAAGCATTAAGGGGAATGAGGGGAAAAAGGGAAAGATACACATTAAAAATAACACAAAGGCAAAGGAAAAAAAAAATGTGAATGCTGCCACTATACATAATGGAACTTACCTTATCCATGGATCGCCAGGAGGCTAGGAAAAGTAATCTAATACCTGGGCCAACTTTCAGACTCCTTGGCTAATTCAAGCCAAGTCAGTCACCTCAGAATGTGCCAAACTTTCACATACAATATGATTACAACCAATACACAGTGTTACAATTAATATGACCACACCTGGATGAAGTACAGAATTAAAGACTCCTCTTGCTGTTGGTGACCATCCAAGGAGCATTTCCCATCAGTGGTGTTCTCCATCCTCCTTCATCCTTTCCAGAACATGGTGCATCTCCTCCATATCATGGAGAATGGTAATCTAAGGTTTGTCTGTTATCTTGGATGCAGTCTAGCAGCTGGTGCAGATTGTCACACTGCAATAATTTCTTTACCAAAGCAAGATTCATTTCAGTTAGGGCAAGTGGCAAATATCAGATTAGGCCATAAAGAAGTGGACCATAGCAACTAATAGGACATAACCGGAACTGAATAACTAGAGTCACATCCCATGATATTAGTAAAGTTACAAACATTTGAATGATCACTTGTATCTACAGTAATAACTATGAGTGTAAAATTGTAAGAGGTACTCATACACACACACTTTTCCAATATAGATGAGTACTATTTCAAGGGCCTCATTAGGATACCTCTAAAGTGAGAGGTATTTGTCTTGACCCTGAGCAAAATGTCTCAAAGTCTTGATAGTATTGGTCTCAAAATAAATCCTTCTTGTTCCCATACAGCACATGAACAAACATCAACAGTTTGCTATTTGTTTTCATTTTATTGGGCCCATACTCTGTGTTCTAATGAGTAGGGCATAACCCCATTGTGATTCAGTACCTGCGCAATGATTGGGTATATGGTATGTACCAAAGCATTGCTTATTGTTAGGACAAAAGTTGCAGCAATGTTATTAACAGGATCATAAGTAAAATTAGCTAGATGCCACCAAGACTGAAATTCTTTCAGATTTGTTTGCATTGTCTAAACTCACCTTTCAAATTTCGGTGGGTAAAGCATTTCCTTTACCTTCCATGAAGAAGAGCTAGGAAGACATTGAATTTGACAAGTGCATCCACAATTAACTGGTGGTCTTTTATACTGTTCTTTCCCACTGAGATAATACATTAGGTAAGAACTCCTGATTGGTTCCAATGCTGATAGGGAAAACTGCAGCATTGTTGCAATGCACATAGATCACTCATTTGACACCCTACCTTTATTCTTTGTCCTACATCTCCCCAGAGTTGCCAGTACTATCCTGGCAACATTCACTTCCTGAATATATTTCAGGACTGTGCTTAACCATGGTGGAAAGGGTTAAGCCTCTGTTAGAAATTAGAATTCAGTCCCATACATCCAGCATGCCCAATATGGGCATGGGACCATGACCAGCTATGGAATGTGATAGGGTCAGCATAAGCAAATACAAATATTAGTCTTAATATACCTGTCCAAAACAATAACATTAATGATACCCCAGGAATCCCAGGGAAAGGAGCGAGGTGAGAAGGGAACATGCAAGGCTCAGCAACAGGATCAGCATTCATTAGCAAATGGAAAACAAAAGAGAACTTCCCAGTTCTAGAGTGTATAATCTATGAGTATACAGATGTATAATCAGTAAGTACAGAAAAGAAGTTAGGTTGGAAAGATTGTGTTAGAGAGATAATCAGAAATGAATGGAAGGCTTACCTGTGTCCTGGGCTCACAGAAAAAAGACTCCAAGAGGAGTGATCTCCAGTGAGAGATCCTTCCTCAGTGGCAGTCAGCCCTTAAATAGGGTCTAAGAGAATTGCCTTCACCTGTGCTCCCACAGCTGACTCATTTCTTGCTTCAGGTGATTAATCAGAGGTTCAGGCCATGAGCCAACAGTCCCCACATGCAGATAAACCAAGGTTAGAGAAAGCTTAATTGGAAAAGACAAAAACAAACTTTTCTGGTCCCAAATGAACCACAGCTGGAAGGCAGGTGGAATCCAGATGGTTACTTTACATTTTCCCCATCATCTTGAGCCTTCCAGATGTATCTGTTAAGAGATTTTAGAGGGTTAAAGGGAAAGAACCAATGTGCAGCAAATCAATCAACAGCAGTTGTCCCATGGAGTAATCATCCCATTAACCAGCTCTTTAAGGGACCACAGGGCACTGTGGTTGCCAGTGGTGAAAAATATTCCAGGTCCCCAGTAACCCTCTGATTTCTTTTTAATCAACAGGATCTGTTCTCCCCTTGTTAGTGGGTCTTCCCACACATACTGGGTCTGATTTCCTAGGGGTGTAACCAAAAATCTCTTTAATTTTGCCAGCTCAGTAGCTAAATAGGGGACCTCCTCAACACTAACAGAGTACCACCTTCACTCTCTTAGTATGCATGCCCAGTCTCTATCAGAGCACAAAGAAGGGTCACCAGGTTTTCTGATTTGTCTTTGGGTTCTCAAATCATCCAGGTTTTCTCCTGGGTAAAAGTCACTGTCTGGAGAACTAGCATTAATCTCCCTCTTATTTACCAATTAGAAATACTGGAAATCTCCACTGCAAAAACACAATTCACCTCCCACTACTATGAGAACTAATGCCCACAGCTGTGTGCAGGTCTATTGACTTCCTCATCCTGGTCTGTAACCAACACCCCCAGTGATGTTACCCACATTTACCTGCCTCTTGAGCCTCACATGCAAGAGCTCCACTAGTTCTTCATACATCCCTAGGCAGAGCTCAATACATTCCTGTTCTCTCACTGAAAGAGCAACTCCACCACCTTGCCAGTCTGTCCTTCCTAAAAAGGACAGAGCCATCCACAACATCATTCCAGTCATGCAAGCTGCCCCACCAGGTCTCCACAAGGGAAACGACATCATGCTCCCTTAGCTACACGTGAAGGATGGGGGAAAAAAAAAAAAAAAATACATGGTCCCATCCTGCCCATACATGCTCCCACGGCTGGAAACGGGAGGGAGTGAAGTACACGCAAAACCCTCCGCGGGGCTGAAGTCACCCCGGGGTCGTACTCGATCTCGGGCAGCAGCCTCATGGCGATCCTTCTAAAAAGCCACGAGGGAGCCCAGCAGCGGCACCGTGCCGATCCTAAAGACACAGAAGTAGCCGAGCAGCAACCCTACATGATCTGCAAGATGAGAGACCTTATCAAGTGACTCCTAAACACTCACCGCTTCAGGCTGACGAGAGGCTCTACTGCAGCCCTTGCTCAGCCTGCAATAGGAGAAAACTTCTGCTTCAGCAGCCCTTTGTGTTAGTTCTTACTCCCAGCACTGAAGCGGCAGGAATACATCCCCACTCCACTTGCTCCTACTAATGAGAGTTTGAAGAACTAAAGCACCCGCTTAAAAAACAAATCCCTGGGAAAGGGGGACTGTAAAGCACCCCGGAGCTAGGCTAGGACTCAGGGATCCGAGCAGCAGCACTCTATAAATACACTAAGAGATCCAGGCAGTAACACCACATCGGCTGCAAACAGCCGGGGGGAGCCCAGAAGCAACCCTACGCTGGGCTGCAAGAACCCAACAGCCTCCTGCTCCAGCCCAAGAGATCCTAATGGCTCTCGAGAGCTCACCACCTCCACAGTCCCCTTACTACCAGAACCACTCACCGATTTGGGCTGATCCTTATCCCGAGAGGTCTCACAGCAGCCTGAAACAAAACGACACAACAAGAATACAAAAGAGAATACCAAGGCTCTATTTTAAAAGCAGACCCTCGTACCTACCGCTTCTCAGCTCCGGCAGCGCTAGGACCGGTCAAAGAAACAGAGCCTGCTCCATCCCCAACGAAGAGCCGCAGGAAGTCGCCCGTGGCTCCCAGCAGCCTCCGGCGGAGCTTAAGAGGCTTTGGGAGGCTTTGGGGCGGGTCCCGCCCGGGGCTCCCGACGAGGCGCAGCTGTGCGCGGCCCCGCGGCACCTGGAAGTCGCTGCCTCGTTAGCGCAGCCGGCCTCGTTAGGGCCGTCCGGGGCTCTGACAGTTAGGCATGTGGGCTCTAGATCTGAACTAGGGACTTAAATGACACTTTAAATTACACTTTGTTACGCGCTTCTCCTTCTCACTGTAGGATTCATTAATAAGTCAAATACTTGTGCTTAATTCAAATGCATCACTTTGCATCTGACACGAGCAGAACAATAGAGTATCAACCCTCCGAAGAACCTTCCCGGCCTTAACAGTTTCCCGAGGCCCCGGCTGCGTGCCGTTTCCACTCCACTTTCCCTCGTCCCACGTCCAAACAAAAGAAAAAGGAAATCAAATGTTGAACCTGTAAAAGCTTTGTACCTCAGAGAAAATGTGACTAAAGACGGTAGCAGAAATAGGGGAGTAGTGATGTGACAAATGCCCAAATGGGTTAGTGATGCAGATGATAAAATTGCCAACCGGTGAAATTTGAAGCGTAGCTTTACAAACACTTCTCTGCAGTGTTGCTCAGGATTATGTTCTTATAACTCATGCTTATGTTCTTATAACTTATGCTCAAGATTATATCTTATAAATGTGGAAGACTTCCAGCAAGATTTTAGCTATGTCTTGTTAAGGAAACAGGTACCCTGTGAAGACTTTAGTGATGAAATTCACTTCACGTTCTTAATTTAAAATCCTGAAAGTTGGACTGCACTCATTTTTATTTTTTCTGATGGTGGAACTGTGAATGTTTTTATTGTACATTGTTACAGATATGTTTTCAGATACACCAGTAGTGTCAGATGTGAAAAGAAGAGAGACCTGAAGGTGCAGAGTGAGGTGAGAGATCCTGCTGAGGACACGCGATATACCATAACATCCTCCCGGAAAAGAAGCAGGTTGTAGGATATGTAGGTCTCCACTGAATTAACTCCACCCAAAACAATCTAAAACTATCAAGTGAACGAAGCCACAAGCAACTTCAACAACACGTACACATCTCCCTCTAGGAGCAGTGTTTGAGCAGAATAGATATTTTATATCCCAAGATGATATAAAATCACAAAATCATCAACTATCAGTACCACTGTTATGTGAAATCCACATGAATGAGGACTTTTTTCTTCTTTTTTTTCTTTTTTTAAGAAAAATAAGACTCGTTGGAACAAACATGCCAACCTTCACTGCTCAGGTGGACTGCAAATCAAAGTAGAATAAGAGGTCGGCAAAAACATGGTGCTCCACAGTCTTAATTTAATAAAATGCAGTGGAATGCCCTCCAATAGCATGAAACTCAAAAGCCTTTGGTAGGACTGAAACATTGTGTACTGGTTGGCAGATGTTTGAAAAAGTGCTAAACTGTAACTTTTATTGCCATAGAATTTGCTGTTAAACACTTACAAGATACAACGTGACAGCCAGCTGGAGGAAAAGGAGAATATATATGAACACCCAGAACGAACAGACTCAGAGCAGTGCGTCTGGGCTTGAACTGGGCACTGAGAGTAAGTTCAGACAACGTTTATGTTTTTAATATTCAAATTGATCTCAATTGGGACTTAGTTAAGGTGAGCTGTACAAAATTCATCTCATTTCCCTTTATATTCCATTCCATATTTAATCTACGTTACAAGAGAGATATTGCACTATGCTTCATTACTTTAATCACTGTCCTGTCCTACTGTAGTTCAACAATGCATGCAAGTGTATTGTTCTTGTTAGAGGCATGGTCTAGAAAATATGGCTGGGGAACTGAACAGTATTTCTATTTCAGCTGCTGAAGCATCCAGTAACTTTGGATGTCACCTAACCCCTCAGATGGAATACTTCCAGGCATTTCCATGGGGATTGGTACATAGCAGTATGCTGTAACTACTGTTGCTAATTTGGGGTGAGCACTCTAAAGTGCATTTAGAGAATAATGTACTCAAATATAGCATACATGAAAAGCTTATTTTAACATTTTAGACAGCTAGATGTAATGTTGGGGTCTTAGAGCATTTTGCTTTGGTGGTCTAGGCTTTTGAAAATCTTAGGAAAATATTTGGAAATGAATTTTGTTTTCACATGCAATACAATTGCAAGATGGGGATGTTTCACCCTTCTCAACAAGGTATCTGTCTTGATGATGACTATAGAATGTAAATGACTATAGAACTGACAAAGAAGTCTGGAAGCATTTTCTTTGGTTCTGATTTTTATTTTTATTTGTTTTAACAGTGAGATAAAATCCAACATTGCCCATGTCCTTGCTCTGTGGGTTTGGGATGTATTGTTGTTGTTGTTGTTTTTGTTTTTGTTTTCCTGCAAAGTAAAACAGGATAGGATATTGGTAATTAGGGCAAGTGAATTTATTGCTGTTGTATGCTGTTTGACAGAAAATTCCTGAACTGATCAGAGCTGATGGCAGTTGGTACTGCCTCCCACTGTTTTCTGAATCTTTTATTTAGTTTGGAGTTCTGGGAAGTATTTGTGGGTTTAATCAATTTACAATTTTGATAAATAAATTCCATGAGTAATTATAGATTATTGCTAAGAAAAGATGAATGGAACAATGAATGTTTTATTTTATTATATATCCTGGGAAAAATTGATCTTCTTTATCAGATTATAACCCTGCTTTTCTTAATACAGCCTATTTACAGGACCAGGCTTATTTATTATTTTATTTATTTATTGTTAAAAAAAAAAAAAAAAAAAAAAGCCAAACACTTTTTCAGTCTTTTGTATTTACTGAGTGCCTTCCCAAAAGTGCTAGTAAGGACTACTGTTCTGAACAAAAACAAATGAGAAGGAAATCTGTTCTGTCAGTTTAAATTCAGCTGATGTCAGGAATTCTGAGTGCCTCTGCATTTATTTTCATCCATCTAGTTATCATTGCAATTTATGCAC